GGTGACTGGGAGAAAGAATTACCATTAATCTTGCTGGCACATCGTGCCTCGGCACAGGGAACAACCAGGAAGTCACTGTTCCAGCTGACTGATATAGAAAAGCGAACCCAGACAATGCCCATCGGAAGTTGAACGAAAATTGTTCACTTCGAAGAACAGAATGGATCAGGTTTTAATTCAATGAATTAAACGTAACACAAAACCCGTAAGGATTGAAAATACTAGCTTTCTTTTTTAAAGTTGAGTTAGTGTGGGAGGTGTGCACTGACAGGTAGAAAATAACGTTTGTCAAAACTCGTGTCAATTTGAATCTATTTTTGGACCGTTTATATTAGTTAAAAGTGCTTTTCGAACACCCGCGTGTCCAATTGGTGGATTTAATATTTTATCTACAAACTTATTACAGTAAATAAATACAGCCGTATTGTAATTCAGGCAGCAATATAAGACTGAAAAATTACTGCCATGAGACATCTAACATGCCGTGCTTTCCTTCCGCCAGTCATTGTGTGAGAATTAACATTTGCAATGGCACAGATACCTCCATTCTTTGTCTTCTCTTAAATTCTAGTCTTCTGAATTCCTAATCACCTTCATCTTCCTCTTTTTAAGTTTATTTCACTAGATCATACTTCTTGAATTACATCTTCGAACCCTAATCTCCTTCATTAACACTAATACTTCCACTACATCTACCACAACGGGATCTGAATTTAAAACTCCATGTCTTTGTGCTAATGTGGTATGGAAACTTGAACTGATGTACATATGTACGAAGTTCTACGTTGCAGTTGACTGACTGATATTCAGTGATTTATTTTAGCGGAAATCAGTCTGCCAGTCAGTTAGTCCGTAGGCCACATACAATGATGAAGCTGACATGCATTTGCAGCTGTCGAAGTTGTTACGACACATAAAAAAAACACCAGGGCAATAGAAGTAGTAACAGTACCAGCGGTAACGGAAAACACTGGGCACACATGATACGACTCGAAAAGAAAAAAATCAGTTCACAGAATAAAAAGAACAATATAATTTAGACACCTAGGACCTAGAAGGAAAAGAGTAGATGAATCTGCAATCCTGACAAATTTCAAGCCATTTGACCAAGTGTTGTCTTCTACTGATTGCGGTAACCGTGTGAACCTCATTCAGGTAATTTTCACCCACCTTTATGACTCAGTCTTAGAGTTGATGACTTCATGAGCCGATAGTACATCTTAGTTTAGCCACCCCAAGTCCTCTCCCAACTTGCGTCTTGAACAACAACAAATGCCCTCAACCGACGTAGACGGCAGATAAGCATACGTAATACATGTCATAACCACCCTGGTTAGTGAAGTATCACTGCCTTAACAACCGACTCGCTCTCCTTTTGCAGTACCATGAGTCCAACCTCAACATAATATTCAATGGTCCCAACATACGCGAAGTGTTATAGAAACGTTTACTATATCACTCACAGTTTGAATAACAAACTGATCCTATCTAGATCACAGCCGGACACCAGGATACATTGGGCGGCCGTTCTGTCCCCATAAAGAACTCCTCAGCAGTGAGATTTTTTGATTCCCAGCTTCAGTATCTTGCATAAGCACTAACGAGAAGTTCTATACTAGGATCAAATGACTGTTAAGTGCTCGCAGGTTTCCCAATATTGGTATAGCTAAGACCCATTTGTGTGGTATACAAAGTGTGAAAATATTACAATCTCTACAAATCCTAACCATATTTCTAATATCTGTACCCAAAATAAAGCAAAGAAGTAAACCACTTACTCTCCAAGTCCACCAGATCCGATATTTAAATCTAGGCCAGCATCCACCAATTGACGAGTGCCTCGTTCGTTAACAGCATAAGATGGTGAAGCCATATAGGACATAAATTTATAAGCAGCTACGCAAGCACTAAAACAGCCCAATGATAATGCTATGTAACGTTTTGTATAGGTTGACCAGAAGAACGTTAGGGTGATACAGAAATAAACAGTCTAGAAAAAAAGTCAAAATAAGTGAAGGTTATAGAAGAGCGACCTATTCTATTGAAAAAGTTGCATTGTAACTAGTCTAGATGACTCGATATTTTAAACAATAACGTTGATATATCAGATGGTTGGGGGTAGTTAACAAGAAACATTGAATTTAGGTTTGTGCTAGTTAGCTTCCGTCAAGAGGACGCACTTCGAATTATGGGGGAAACGGATTGACCCTATGTAAAATAAAGCTGCGTCACCTAAACTAGTGATCACACTGAGATTTGATCAATATAATTAATTCAGTACCGAGGACATAAACATCATACTATGCATTACTCTGATCAATCAACGATAAATATCTATCTTACAAACAATAAACTGCAGTACTATCAGACGGTGAAGTTTTGATTTCAATCCTATGAACGAAAATTAAAATACTAATAGCCAACTTGTACTATTCAGATTCTCCAAAAAGCATATATATATATTGGTTTATTGTTCTCTACAACAATTAGATGAATGTACGCATTTTACAACTTAGGTACTAAAACAAGATTTTTAGATGCTGGTTATTCGAGTCAAAAATAAGAATATGATCAATAATAAACATAACGACCAAATTAATCAGTTTTAGAAAACATAAGAGCTGGAAATGATAAACATCATTTCACATCGCATATCTGACAATAACATATTGGGTGAGGAAATTAACAAGATCAAGAGCAGTGGATAAGATGGATTACGAAAATAACGATTTCTGGAAAATAAAGTGTAGAGATAAATTATGTGTAAAACAGGTCCTTTCAAATATTATAACAAACCAGCAATACATATACCTTGTGCCTGAAAAATAATTTCAGTTACTCGAAACACTTAATTCCTTCCGTAGTCTTATATTCTCGAGTCCAGTATAAACCAATTTAAATGAAAACCCTACCGTAAACGCAAGGCCAGACAGTAAATTGTGTTGAATAAGTGTTAATAATCGATAAACCACAGCGTTTTGGACAACCATAACGTTTCAAAGTGTAACAAAAACGAGAAAAACACTTACGAAACAAGAGAGGAGTAGATAACGGTAGAATTTGAGCGTCCGCACGTTTTCCTCATGAATGTGTTTTTCACTTTTAGTTCCTTCTTTAGGGGCTTTTTTCTGATTGAACATGGCCAAAGACGTAGATGCGGCCTTGACGTAACGAAATATTTAACTACTGCAGACATGAATATTCAATATCAAACACTCAAAGTAAAACAAGAAAGGACTCTTTCTGATGTAGGACACTAGATGTATGGAGATTTGATGAGATGGATTTATATTTCAGGTAAAGATATTAAGAAGTCTGACGGTACGGTATGAAAAAAATCTTACAAATATCTATCAGCTTTTACTAGACGGTGCTGGTCAAGCGACTTCACTGTATTCACTAAAGCGGCTTTGTCATTCCCATCGGTCGTTCGATTCGGTAATCACGGGATACTGTTAGATCATAATATAGTCAGACAGACGGCAGATTTCCCAACACTGCGAGAATAAGTGGAAGGAAGTTTACTCCTTTTTACTTGTTGTAAATTATTTTATGAAATGTTTCCACGATTATTCATTATGATACTTGACATTAGAATGCCATCACTTTGTATAAATAAGGAACGTTTCAGGCTTATCCAATATTGGCGTGGGTACATACCAACATTTCACTGGTACGTATGCACTGTTTCTCCCCAAGATGTCTGGTTTTGGATTTACATGTGTTCAGTGTCAGAGCAGAAAATTTGGTGTCAGAAGGCTAATCCAATTTCCTTAAATAATGTGATATGAAAACTACCCACAAACTTAGGAAGGACGGCGATATGTGGTAGTGGAAGAAAAGGCCATAGGTTGTCGTACACCCGTTCTATTTTTTTAAACGATACGTCACAAACTTGAAATGTACCTAAATTTTCCTCCGCGATTTGTTCATCAATGTAGATGGATTATACACAACTCGCCCCCTAAGGCTAGATTGTAACGTTCGCTGTATATAAAAGCAACAGCCCAAGTTTTCATCACAGCACTCACAAGTCAGGTTATCATTTTATGTTTTATAATTTAATTTTCACCATCAGTAGTTCTTTTATTCCTCTTACTTAGCAAAACTTTCATTATAACCCATCAGTCGAACTGAATAATCCAGTTTCCTAAGAAATATTACTCATCATCTGTATCACTTTGATCTGGCTTTGTTTCTTGTAACTTACATAGATAGCAAGTATAATTATTACCCTCAGTTGGGCGTTGTCCATGTTATCTTTCAAAAATAACCTCACTAATTCGGGACCAGAATATACATATCTTGGACCTGTAGCGTCTTCTCTTGCAAACCAGTTGCACAATTCTGTCCACTCACCTGGATTAGAGCAGGTATCAAACACTCGATAGGTCTCTTCACCGTAGTATCTAAACAGCCATTTTACTGTCAAGCTGATTCAGAATGCAAGTGAAGGTAAACTTCTTTTGACAGTTAACTTTTCGAATTCATGTGACTAACCGTCAGAGTTGTAGGCCATTTCTGACTGTTTATTTGATCATGAGGTGTGACTGCTTTTCAAATTAATTCGTTGATTTCACAACAGTAATGTGTTTTAGGTGCTTTGTTGAAATTGACTAAGATCGCCACCACAGACCCGTTACATTCCCGTCAAAAAGTACATCTTCATGAATCAAGGACAGAGAATAAAAGTCTACGCATAAAAGATATTATAGTTGCTGGCGATTTCGTGGTATCGAATGAGTACCGAAATGGTGCCAGAAAAGAGGGGTGAAATTACTGTGGTGAGTCATTCAACGTCCAGCTCGCATGACTTGTCCCACTTGTCTTTTGACCTTGTCAATCATTCATAGCTTTTATTCATGTGTTCATGCCAATCTCGCTTAATACATGTTTGTCTTATTTTTGTCTGACTACAAATTCTTAGTCATGCTTTATCTATTGGAGTTGGCTTACTATGCCTCTCCACTTCGCTTCATCCACACTAAATGGTGGCTAAACAAATGGAAAGTTTTGTGCGTACATGGTAGAAACGAACAAAACGTTCAGTAAAACAGTCACTGGTACTATTGGTTATAATGATGAATGTTTCTGTCAAACCGATCACGTTATCTTCATTAATGTTGAGTCACTACAAAATCATTCATAGTTTTTACATTCAGTAATTTGCATGAATCGCTTCGAACTGTTATTCATTCCCACTTCCGTGCAATCTTTTATATTTTCACCTCACTTCAGGTGCTTAACTACAAGAAGTTTAATATGACCAACTTCTTTCATTCTCAGTGTTAATTTATTTAGAAGGCTTTAATTCCCATATCTTTCAAAAACATATATTTTCTTTTGATATTTGCGATGCTTTCCAAAACCCTGTTTATGCTGTTCATTTATAGCGTTTACTTAGATATAACTCCTTGAAAACACACAAGTTCATATTCTTACTCTAGATTTTAGTTCAATTCGTTCTCGAAGTGAATGAATGAATTTTATTCAATTCCTGTTTTACTCACAAATCCGATTCAGACATGACCAACCAGGGCACAAACTATTGTTACGCCGAATAAGAGTCGAGAAAAGAAGAACAGAAAGTCAGCAACATAGAACAGAGAACTCCAAGGCATAAACAAGCAGACAAGTGCAGAAGAACATCGTAGTTGATAAGCGAAAATATATGGAAGACATAGTAATGATAGGAAAAATGGCTGCAAGAGAAGGAAATATGAAACAACTATGCGGTACAACAAAGAAGCTAGCCGGAAGATATGGTAAACCAGAACGACCAGAGAGAAACAAGGAAAGACAACTAGTAATCGACATTGCAGAACGGCGATACAGTTTGGTAGAGCATTGCGAGGAACATTTGAGTAAACCAACTCTACTGGACTCACCTTCAGACCGTTCAGGTGATGTTGACCTGAGAACGACTGAAGAGATCTGTTGGTAGTTGGTTGGGTTTTAGAGCTGTCATTCACCCATGAAAAGCATGAGGTACAGTGGACAGCTAGGATGCAGTTGGAGGATCCAGACTTCACAGATGATTAACCCTTGTAGACAACAGGCAAAAAAGTTCCGAAAAAGACAACTAGTGTGACAGGAGCTTCTGTAGTAGCAGGTCTCAACACTCACATTGCAAAAAGCGAAATCCTTCGACGTAACACAGTATGTATCAACCAAACCGCATTCAGTGGAGAAGCTTTGGAAAATGTGGAAACGTTTACATACCTAGGAAGCATCTTCAGTAAAAAAGGCGGGTCTCATGCCGATGTAAAGGCATGGACTGGCAAAGTAAAGTCAACGTTTCTACGATTGAAGAACATCTCAGAACTAAGACAAATATCAAGCAACACCAAAGTCACAATTTTCGATGCAAACGTCAATGAGTTCCACTATATGTTGCTGTAACGTAGAGAACCATTAAGCCATTATCCACAATATACGGTCATTTATTCGCTGTTGTCTACACAAGATTCTGAGGATCAGCTGGCTTGAAACCATCAACAACAACCCACTAAGGGAGAGAACAAACCAGATTACAACCGAGGAGCGAATTGGCGGATAGGTCAAACATTGCAAAAATCACCCAGCTGCGTCATCAGGTAGGTACTAAATTGGAGTCCTCAAGGCCAAGGCAAAAGAGCTGGATCTAAGAATACATTTCTTTGAGGAACGAAAGCAGATGGCAAGAAGATTGAGTAGGTCGGAGAACGCCAGTCGGCGGCCCATGTTCAGTTAGGGATGACGAGCGTGAGTAAGTAATCTCATCTTTATTCTAACACCTCGTTGGAATACTGTCATTACTAGTTCTATGTTACAAGCAATCCGGACAGCTTAAGCTACTGTATATTCGATTCTATAGCCATCTAGTATATGAAA